TTTATCTGATGGCACGTGTCCTAACAAAACGTTTACACAATAGATAAGATGGCAGACAACTTCCAATCTTCATATAAAAATAAATGGCAGAAATATTCAAAACTAAAAATAATCCTGGTACAATTAGTTATCCAGCTTGATCTCTGATAAGGACAGCTCAACTTTCAGGCTGTTTTCATGCCTCCATCAAACACAGCGATTGCTCAATCGCAAAGTACACTCAGTCGTTCAGAGAGAATTTAGGAGCCGGTGGTTTGTCTTCAGAGATGAAAGAGCCATATTTGTATACGAGGCAGAGCATCTTTTGGTTTCATATACTTGCAATTACCTGATGAAGCAGTGGGAGCTGCATGTGCAGGTTAGAACCAAGAATACATTGAAATTAAAGGACTGCAGAAAGAAAAAAAGACAAAGCGTATGCAACAAAATACACTGCAAGCTAGTGTGTTAGATCATTACAGTTAATGTGCTTTCACATGCAATTAATATGATGACACCAAGAAACTGCTATGCCAAACCTTTAAATACTGACATGTAACTGCTGTGCATCCACTAGCCAATGTGTCTTTAAACAAAGGACGACAAGTGTGTGAAGCACCTCCCCACTTGAAAAACAGTCTCTAATCATTGCAATGTCAGTATCAGAGATTTGACCGCAGTTCTGTGGAATGGCTGTACAACACTGCAAACTAACCAAAACCTTTTCTTTCTTCCTCAAGGAATTTTGCAGCACCTTTCTCTGTACAACAAGGGGAAGAACAGATTCCCAGACAACAGGTAAGCTTAAGTCCGCAGTGTGCCAACATTACACCTCAGCATGCCAGCAAAACGATGTCACCAACCGACACTTTAACATCTCTCAGACTGGTCACTCAAAATCATCACCTGTTTTAGTTTTGCCACAGAAAAAAGAAATGTTTACAAGATGATATACAGGATGTAAACATATCTGCATGAATTGCAGTGAGTTCAAAGAGGCAGCAAGGAGGCAAAGGATTAATTGAATCTTGAAGTCTGGAGATCTGAAATCCTTATGGTTTATGATCTCAGAGACTTACAACAGAACTATTTGCCTTTATCTCTTTGAAGTTTATCTTACTCCATCAGGAACTTTTAGTCAAGTTCCTTTAGCTTCAGACAATTTTCTACTTTGTTTCTCATTTGATCAGCAGTCCTCTAATGACGTTGGCAGCAGGATGTTTTCATCCATTCCCTGTAGTTCTTCTTGCTGCTCTAAAAAACCCCTCTGTGTGATGGGCCTTTATAAGGATGTTTTAAATTAAGTTAGCAACATACCAGCATATCTACAGTATTATCTATTAATTCCATGACTTGCACAGCATTTCTTCTGCAGCGTACCTGCCTAACAAAATGGCAGATAAGACAGGACATGAAGCACATGCATATTTACAACAACTTCAGATCACAAGCTGTGGGCTGGTAGAAAACAGTTTGTCCTTTCTCAATATGACAGTGCTTCACCTTGAGGCTTAAGACTACAAAAAAATGCAACTACGAAGATCACATGATGCACATGGGTACCATACCTGTACCATACTACCTTCTAATACAAAGCCAAGATTCTGTTTAAAAATAGCTGTATCCCTTGGAACTGATCACCTCAACTGCCAACATCTGGAACAAAACACAGCAAAGATCTACTGCATTTCATTTTCTCCACAGTTCCGAAACATGATATTGTAAAACGACTTCTCATAGGAGTAACAGAAACTGAACAGGAACAAAACTGACCAGGACTGCCTTCTTGTGTCCACAAGTCAGTGAAAAAGTTTCACAAGCAATGTGCAGATTGAAAAGGAGCGGGGTACATTAAACCTAATGCATTGAATAACCTCATTTAGCTGTAGCTATGAGAGACATGTAAGCTAATGTTCCAGACACAATTCCTCTTGTGATAATTACCAGAAGTATGGGGTAGTAGATTCTAGAAATTATTATTTTTATTTAAATAGGTAAACATCTGGACTAATTTTACTAATCTTTTTACTTCTAAGTATAAAAACCAACAGCAAAATGTTTTTCATGGTGTCTAACACTGTTTTTATGGTGAGAAAAGGGCACCTCATGTTCTGTAACTTTCACAATATCCACATGATAAATCCATGGAAGCAAAAATAAAGACCACAGTCTTTTACGAAAAGCAAATAAAAGTCTGAGTCCCTGTGTTCCCAGGGAACCTCCCTCCTTTGTTGCATAGGGAAGAAAGACTTGTAAGCATGCAGAAAGAAAAAAGAAACCTTTCTTTTAACATGGTCTTGTAAAAAGGACAAAAACACTCTTAGTTGTTTTGATTTATTTGCAAATGCATAGCATCAGATACTTAGGAGATTCTTTTGCATTACTAGGGAACACATGGAAGCTTCTGTTAGCAAGCAAGCTCAGCACTGTGAATAAACCCATAGAATGTAGTTGTTTGCTTTTTAAAACATTGTTTATTGAGAATACTTAATGAGAATTGAAGCTTCAATAGCAAATATTTAACAAGGAGCACAAACTCCCTCACCTAACCATTTTCTAAAGCACAACTGTCCCATCCTACTTAAAGAAAACACATTCTTGACAATTGAAAGATGTGAGATTCAGCCTTCTGCTATTTATCAAAGTGATCAGGTCTTCTCAAGCAGAGGAACCTGTACCCCTCAAGTTTTATCTCATGTTCAACAGGAACTGCTTTCCATAAGATTTGGAACTGCAGCTGTCCACACGGAGGAACTGCAGTCTTTTCTCCACTGCTGCCAAAAAATTGCTCCACAACATTTGGAAAAATAATCAATTTCAGTTCAATTCATACTATTAAAAATAAAAAAAAAAAAAAAAAAGACTAATGTCACACAACCATATTGAAGCATTTACTAGGTATCATAGCCCAGAAAGTGGAATAGTTTACATTTGTTTTGCACTGGATAAGTGCTACTCACACTGAATGTGAAATGGTAAGAAATGGATCCATGGGGCAGGAGCTGCAGTTCCTCAGGCAAAAAGAAACAAAACAACTAATGGGAGTAAAGTGAATTCAATTTGTGAGGCACAAGTAGGTTTGAGAATTCAGAATCCCAGAGCTACAGTATTTCTTTTGCTAGCGTCATATGGCAAAACTTTAGCCCTATAACTGCCCCTAATTTCGGTGACCATATAGATGACACCATGCATCACATGTCGTGTCCTCTGTCTGCTGTGGGAGGCAGGGCAAAGCACTTGGTGGTACCCTGTAGAAAGTGCTAAGTTAAGGCCTTTCACCACATCTATGCATGAATTATTTCTCACTCCAAATTTTATCTTTGAAAATTTCTTCCCACTACTGCTCCTTTTATCTCTACAAATTGCAGCGGGTTTTCATTCTCTTTTCCATGGTGTCGATACCATTCAGTTGTGTGAATGCAGCTGTATAGAGTTTCAGCCTACAAGAACTAGGTCAACGATTTAAGAAACTTCTTGTTATTTAGGAGAGCACAGGAACTTTCAACACACGCTTAAAGTTAACCCTGTCTATGAATCCTCCTCTAAACCAAGGCCTAGAGATAGGAAAGAACCAATCCCTCAGTGCTTTATTCAAACATAAATAGTGAAACAGAAACTCCACGGGGGAGTAAAGCGACGCTATCAGAATCAACCCCTGGTGATAATACTGCAGCCAACCCATGGGGTGGGAAGGGCTTCTGCTGCATGCACACCATCCTGAGAACGCAGATCTCCTGCCACCACTTAAGGTGTATTACCCACTATTGCTCTCATGAAAACTGCCACATTGATAAATACAAATACACACTTTTTTATTTAGGGATTTGTTTCCTTCCGATTTTTTTTTTTCCCCTAATCAACGTAAATCCCATTTATGAATACTGTGACTGCTTATAGCTGCTGAAAGTGAAGCTAAAAACACACGTGGCTCGTGTCTGCATTCCAGCCTGTAGTTGACAAAATCTCAAATTCAGTACTTAGGACAGAGGAGTTTTCTGAGTTTTTGTTATTATTATTATTATTTTATTTTGTCTATAGCACAGGGCATTTTGCAACTCACAGCTTTTTTTAGAGTCTCCTTACAGCGAGACAGAATCCTCATTTTACATGAAGCCAACTGACACTTTAATTGGAAGCTTTCTGAAATTACAGACTTTGTGTTCAACTACTTGAGAGAAAAGGAGGATTTAAGTAGAGACTGTTCTTAAAGCAACCACTTCCTTTCCATTTGTCTTTTATGCTAGACAGTTTGCCACTTGGGTGATTCTGAAGAACACTGAAGACAAATAGGGTTTAAATAACAAACAAACACAAACATGGCCAGAAAGACGACTCAGAAAGAGCCCGGGGTTGAAGCCCGTTAGATGGAATCAGGTTTTAGCACTTATCTAGCAAAACACCACAACGAATTTCTGCCCTGACCAATCTTTTGGAAATCTCTGCACAGACTTCCCTCGCTTTCATTACCGATCTCTGTGCAATCAAATCTTTTACTCTTTTCTTTTTAAGGCATATCTCTTATCTGGCAACTTTTACTTCAGGCTCTCAGGGTTTATCTGCAGGACTGCGATGGTGATGAATTTCACATCTCTATAGGAAGAAGAAAACATCCAGATGGAGCTTTACTTCTGAACCAGCCCTTTCGGAGGGTGGTGTAATTGCCTCCACATGCACAGACACACCCTGCCCGATCCCGTGTTTACGTTTACCATTAAAGCGACACATATCTAACATTTATTTACAAATAACAAGCTACGAAGGCAGAGCTTTTAACAAAGAGTAGAACAACTTCGCAACAACAACAAAAGGGACGCGGCGTTCCGCGAAGAGGAGGCATCCCCGGATCGCTCCCTGTCACGGCGCGGGCATCCCCCGCCCTCCGCCTCTCAGCACAAGAGATTCGCCCCGCGCGGATCGGCCCGGCCGCGGGCACTTCTACAAGTTGCTCTCCGGAGCCGCCCGCGGAGAGGCCGCCCCGCAGCCCCCCCCGAGGGGCTCCCCCCGCCCGCACCGCTGCTCACCGACTGCAGGAAGTGGAGGGTCCCCACGTAGTCCCTCTCGGTGCTGAGGATCTCGTTGAGGACGCAGAGGCGGAGGCGCAGCTGGCGGTCCGCGTCCTTGGGGCAGCCCGCGGGCTCCGAGGCGCTGGGGGCGCCCGGCGGCGGTGGAGGCGGCGGAGCCTCCATGCTGGCGTTCCGTTTTCCCGCTGCTCTCCTCGGCCGCCTCAGGAGCCCCCCATGACCGCGCCGTGCCCGCCCGTAACGGCGCCCCCCGCCGGCCCCTCGGCCCTGCCCCGCCCGCGGCCGGAGGCGCTACTGGGGCCGCTCGCCGAAGGGAGCCCGGCTGCGGGACATGCCGAGGTAGCGGCACGGCGCTGAATGAGGAGAGGAAGGGAAGTCCCGGCGGAGGGGGGAGTGAGGGGGAGCGAGAGGCGGGCGAGGAGGGCGGGACGGGGCGGGCGAAGGCAGCGGAGCCCTCCCCTCTGGAGGCCCGACCGGGTCGGCGGCGGGGGGCGGCTGAGGGGAAAGCGCGAGTGGGGGTCGGTCGGCGGGCGGGATGGATCCGCGGGCACCGCGCGGCGGGAACGCGACCTCACAGCCGTCCTGCGCTGCACCGCCCCTCAGCCCACGCACTGCTCGCACACAGCCCACTCACGCACAAACCTTTCACACACAGCCCTCGCACCACACACCGCTATTCTTCTACACTTAGGATCACAGAATCATGAAGGGTGACCACTAACATCTACTAACAACTAACCACTAACACTAACATCGCCGAGTCCAAGCCAACACACCCCACCATCACTCACTAACAACGTCCCCCAGTGCCACATCTCTGTGGTCCTTGAACACCTCTAGGGACAGTGACTCCATCACTTCTGCAGAGTCTGTGCCACTGTATCACGACTCCTTCTGTGAAGAAATTTTTCCTAATTTGAACCTAAACCTTCCCTGGTGCAACTTGAGGCCGCCACATCTCTTCCTATCACTTACCTGAGAGCAGAGATCGACCCCCACCCCACTCCAATCTCCTTTCCAGACACTGAGACAGTGATGAGGTCTCCTCTGAACCTCCTCTTCTCCATACTGAACCATCCCGGCTCCCTCAGCCACTCCTCATAATCACTTGTGCTTCAGACCCTTCTCATCTCAAACAACAGCTACATCACACATTTACGTCAACCCCCACGCTATTCACACACAGACCCTGAGCACAGGCATACCACACCGCAGTAACAGCACACCCAAAGCACACACCACTCTTGCCCACACCACACACACAGTGCACTCCCACACCAAATACACGCAGACTCCTCATGGGACGTGACCTGATGTGAGCAGGCACACCAGAACAGGTACACTCACACACAGACTCAGGTGGTGCACACAGAAATGTTCACAAATGCACAGAGACATACACACAGATTCATTCGAAACTGTAAAATCACAGAATTCACACCACAAACACTTGCACACACAGAGAAATGCACTCAAATCCATATATTTCCCTCCTCTCTGGTGGACTGAGGGGCTGATACACAAACTCACCACTCCAGAACAGATGCATACTGGAATATGAAAGCCTAAATGTACACAGACACGCAGAAATAAGAAATTCCATGCCAATGCAGAATACATATGGGAAATGTAAGTGTTGCTGGAAATCGTAAGTATTTTGTTTAAGTTTGTTGCAACTACTTATACAAAGTTATCACAAGGCACAAAGGCGCAAAAGCAGAGGTCGACTGGATAAATTGCATACGATGATAGAGAGAGTCCTCTAAGACAGCGTTCTTCCTGCTGACTCTCAGAAACCTACCTTGGTTCAAATCAATGGAGATTCTCTCAGATGTCTTCACTGCACTATGCACTGAGAAGCTGCCAGGCTTTTGAATTAAGTAGAAAAAATGTTTCAACAGGAAATTTTTAGAAAGATAATGATGTGAACCTTTAAGTGGTGTAAAGACAGAGACGATTTTTTATTACCTTAAACATGAACATAAATAATGTAATAAATCATAATTTTCCTCAGGCTAAAACAAAATACCTCTTTGGGTATTTTAAGGACATTTTAACTTGACAGTGATGTTTTTCTGTCATGACTAATATCTGTCTTCAAAGCATTAAGTTTTCTATTTAAGAGAAAATGATGGAGTTCAACATACACAATTGTCATCCTGAATACTGATTTAATCTTCATGAGTATCATATTGCATGAAATGAAAACCCAGCTCTACAGCTAAGGTTATAGTGGCAGCAGGCTTCATGTCTGCTTCATAGGGAATATCAGATATTTTCAGTCCTAGATGTGGACACTGTCTGTATCAAGTAATAATGATTTATCAGCTTCCCAGGTCTCCTTCTGATGTAGTTTCAGGTCAAGGTGGGCAGTTTGCACCTCCATAAACATGACTCGTGATGTGTTGTAATACCACTTTATTTCTTCAACCTTATCAGTGAGAAATGTTGCCTTCGCTCTAAGTCAGTCAGAAACACGATTGCTCAAAACAGTACAAAAAGTATTGGAAAGCTCATGTATACTTAACTGTAGGAAGTTGGAGGGAAAAACCTGGAGAACAGCAGGAGATAATTCTGGGTTTTGCACAGATAGGAGCTGTATGATCACCATAGGATGTGGAAGAGCACCTCAGCACAGGCCTGAGACAAGGACAGCGAAGCAAAGACTTCAGAACAGGTCAGATTAAACTAAACCCACTATTTTTACTTCAAGTTTGTGATATTTAACCTTTTATTCTATTCTCTATAGCTTTGTCATTTTTTTTAGTCAGTGTGTCTCCCATCGCTGTATTTTTTGAAACCAAATGACTTTTCTGCCTAGGACAAGTGGCAAGACTATCAGCTAAAAGATCCTAGCAGGTTAAATAACAATATTCTGTTAGGGAAAAATCAGCATCACCAAAGCTGCGCCCCCACCCTGTGGCTGAAGGAGAAAGCTGATCACTTGAAAGTTAATGATTGAACTGTGACTCCTTTGCTTGCTTCAAAAGTCTCATTATCACTTCATTTCTTCAGCAAATTCTGAGGCAGAACACAACCATGGAATCAGTGGGATGCTATCTGAGCAATGCTTGCACTACTGTGTAATGTGCCTTTTTGTTTATATTGTGTGTGATCTACATACACATTTTATAGCTTTACCGTCAGCATTTCTGTGTTGAAGCATTACTATGTTAGGCTTTTTTAATGGGATACCACTTGTGACTGGAATGAATAAAATGTTAAGAAAAGAGTTTTCACTAAAATTAGAGTTTTTTACTCTTTTTCGAAATAGTTTTTTTTAGCTATAGAAAAATCATTTTGGTACGGTAAAGTGTGTTTTTGTTTGTTAGGTTTTGGGTTTTTTTTAGTTTCAACCTTTTTTTGTTGTTGTTAACTACTGATGAATTTATTTCCTTCCAAATTATCTCAGACGTATAGCAAGTCTTTACTTCACACTGGCTGTTTTCTTAGCTGCTGGCATAGCTTTTCATTTTTAGGACAAAGATCTGCAATTAAACAGAAAGTTGTTTTATTTTTAGAGATACTGTATTATTGTATTGCATAAGGCTTCAGCTGAATTTGTTCCTTACAGCTTACTTTCTTTTTTCCTTCTTTTTTTTTTTTTTTTTTTTTTCATATTTAAAAAGGAAATAGTTTGCGACTGCTGTTCAATCTTGAAGAGAAAGTCTGCTGCCAACGTTTTTCTTGAGTGAGCACTTCAAAACCAAACAAAAATGCTGCTACTTTGTAAAACAGTCAGGGAGCCAATTATCAGGAGAGTGACATATCAATTACCACGAAACTCACCATCTTTCATGAAGATGTAATTAATTTACACGTGCTTGTAAATTGTTTGGAGCAGTTATATTTATACACTGTCTACCACAGTATCACCAAGGTGTTAAGGTCCCTGTGTAATCACAATACCAAAAAACCACAATCATCAGCTGTGTTTGACTCCATACTGGCTGTTTTCCCTCTTGCATGAGAAAGCATTACTGGCACTGTGAAGGCCCTGCTGAAGGCCCTGGGAAGGCCACTGTAGCATAAGACTTAAGTTCAGTGTGATTGCAGGGTTTATTAATTAAACTGAGATTACGCCTTTTAGCCATAGCAAGGACGATCCCATAGTGGACCTGCCTACCTCTTCTTCACTGGTTTTGTGAGGGTATTTTTCTCCTTTCTTCTTCTTCCATTCTGAAAGGAAAATCTGTTTGCTAAAGCATACGTTCTGAAATTTGCTGAAGTTAACAAGTTAAGTTATTTCTGCTAACTTTAGAATATTTTGAATCAAATCCCCATTTTTGGCTCATCAAAAAATGGCTGCTCATGCTTAGTTTCAAATCGGCTTGATGTCTCGGAGAGATGTTCAGTGAATTACACGTCCTGCATGAACCCTTCATCTGTGTACGCATTGTGTATATTATTTATATGAAGATTGTAGTTTATTTATTTTTCTGCATGTGTGCTTGTGGTGCTGAATCAACTCCAGCTCAGTTTCTCTGAGCAGTGTGGAAGTGTTGGTACACATGGGAAATTAGTCATGGAAATGTGGTTCTCCAAAATAATTTTGGTGCTCATCTCCCTGCATATCACCTACCTGGATTTCTTGAGCCTAGAAGCTGTATCTTGACCATTGCTTTCATAGTCCCAGTGGCCCCCACTACCCAACAAATTCCCCTAAAGCCTCTCTTACACACCTAATGCCTTGGATTCTTTTTGCAATCATTTCACAATGAGCTGGATGAAAATAAATGAATGAATTAATAAAATCTCTTTCATTTCAGACCTGACAGTTTACTTGGGTGCATCTTAACTTTAGGACTGTAAGAAGTAGAGCTTAATCACTGTTCGTGCTCCTTTTACTCTCTATTTAAGATTTTACAGATCTTTCAATGGTCTCTACATCAAGTTAAAATATCCAAAATATCCAAGTCTGTCCTCATATTGAAACCAATTCCTATGGCTGATCACCCTTCCTGCTCTCCTCTGTACTTATAGTAGTTCAACCACATCATCTTAGAAATGGTAGTGATGGATTTCTGCAATGCATTAGAGATGGATGTGTGACAGGGATTTGTTCAGTGGTACCATGATGTTCTGTCTATTGTTTCCATATAGGATCTAAAATGTTGCTACTTTTACGGCTGCTGCTGAGCAGAGAATATGCTCTGACTCCAGGC